CTAATATAGTGCCTCTACCACTATTGGGCAATTGACATTCCTAGAGAGCACGATGTCCAGTACCTCCGGACTTCTGCGTCAATCTGTTGGATCGTGGTTTGGTTCCTTGGGACCTAAAACGTCGTAATTATTTTCCTCCGCACGGTACACGACGCGGCGGGTTGATCAGTCTAGATCCCCACGCCGGGTGTTTAGCGTTTAGGTCCCCGGCGAAGATGGTGGGCGTTGCTCCGGTGGGGTGTGCCTCCTAGCCGATTTCATCGGCCACTGCGGTTTGATCGTCGTTTCCAACCCAGTCGTGCTCTAAATAATTTAATGCTCAAATACGGTGGGCGTGAGCACGGCGCTCGGCGCGGTCTCCTTGTGCGGCGATACTGGCTTTCTAAATGGTATCTGGCTGAAAGATCCTACTACCCTGGAACGTTCCAGGTTAAATAGGGCCTTGACCATTAGTGGACGATCAAATATGCCCGGGTGATCCGAGGGTTTCCTTACGCGAGGGGGTGGGGTGGGGTTGGGCTCTCCCTTCCCCTTACTCGTCATGATGGTGGTTACATCTGTTTGTCAGTTACAACTGTTTGTAAGTCCTATCTTATGTGTCCTATCCAAGTCCCTACCTAACGAGGCTGACAGCAGAGTGACGCGTGACGCGAGCTTGGGAGCGGGAGAGATGATGGGTGACCGAAAAACTTTAGGGGCACTGCCTACCCCTTTCCTTACGAAAGGGTTGGGGGAAGTGCTAGATGGCACTCAATTATGCGACTAGGCACCGAAGTAGCACGAAACGCTCTTGAGCGCCTAATAATCTGCCTAAGGGCCGGTGACCTTGACGCCTCTCGGAGTATGCGGACTTAACGATTGGCGGAGTATATCGTACCGACGGCTGCTTGTGACTACTGCTAATCCACAAACAACGCACACTTAGGGGAGGACGAATTGCCAAATTACCAGTTTACTATCCTAGGAGCGCGCTATACGCAAAAGAAGACCGCGCACCGCGCGCTATTTCAACATATCGAGGCATCCTCAGGTGATATAGACTCTACGGTGGCTAACCGCTAAGTGAGCGGCGAGTCAAAACAAATGCTATTTATACAGATCGCTGACGCAACCGCTCTCTACTTAAGGAGCGAGCGACTGCGTCATGCGATAAAACTTGCGACCAATCACCGCCGGACCCATTTTATATGGGTTACCAAAAATACATAAAGAACATGTTCCTATTCGTCCAGTTGTCTCATATATAGGTGCACCAGCTTATTTCCTTGCTAAAAAATTAAACTTCCTCCTTTGAGAGAAATCTGGATTCAACCCCATTTTCAGCCTAAAAAATGGCTTAGATCTCATTTCCAAAATTAATGATATTCGTATTCCTCCTAAATCCATATTGTTATCTTTAGACGTTGATAGTCTTTTCACAAATGTCCCATTCCCTGACTGTTTGCGTATACTCTCAGATCTTTTTGATAAACGTCGTCTACATCCCGGGAAAACAAATGATCTTCTTAACTTAACCTCTCTCTGTATGAAACAAAACTATTTCCGGTTTAATAACCGTTTCTATCTACAAAAAGAAGGGTTAGCTATGGGGTCCCCTCTAAGTCCCCTTATGGCGGACATTTTCATGGATAATTTCGAAAAAAAAAACATATAGTTGTCAATCAAAATATCTTATATTACTATCGACATGTAGACGACATAATTATTTGCTGGACTGGCACAAGGAGACAACTGGATGTTTTCCTCAATATAAATAGAGTTCATGACAAAATTAAATTTAAACTGGAATTTGAACAAGATTTTTGCCTTGATTTTCTCGACTTAACAATAACAAGAAAAGAATCGTCACATGTTTTCCAAATTTATCGAAAGCCAACCATACCGACACGGTCATCCCCGCGTCATCATGTCATCCGTGGCAACATAAAGTAGCCGTTTTTTATTGTTACATTAACCATTTGTTCACTGTCCCATTAAGTAAAGAAAATTATTTAAAAGAACTTAATATAATTTATCAAATAGCGGTCTATAACGGTTTTTCAAAAAATCTCATTAACAATTTAATTAAAAAGAAACAAAAGCATGTTGTTCAACTCTCTGTACGCGCTTCAACATCAAAGTGTTCATCGATATGTGAGCAGTTTGACCTACTTAGGCCCCATATCTGAAAAAGTAGCTAAGACTCTTCGACAAAACGGTGTTTATGTGGCGTTCAAAACAAACAATTCTCTTAGAAATATCTCTAATAATAAAGATAAGTTGGATATTCGTCAAAAGTCAGGTGTTTACAAACTTGTTTGTGACGAATGCCACGCCGTTTACGTGGGTCAGACTGGTCGCAATTTCGAGACACGTTATAAAGAGCATTTAGCCGCGTACAGGAATTGCAATCCCGATAAATCCCATTTTTCCAAACATCTTTTGGACACTGGACACAACCTAGCCAACGACCACTCCTTTAAAGTCTTACATACGTGTAATAAAGGGTTGCGGCTGTGTGTGCTGGAACAGTTAGAGATATTAAAAATATTAATAGTAACGTTGCACTGCTGAATAAACAAATAAATGTTACTAACTCACCTCTCTTAAATATCTTTAAGCCTGCTCTCTAATAATAGAAAGCCTCGCAATATGGTCGCTTGTCACCCTCACGGTGATCGGCGATTGGTTGCGTGGTTGGAGTGTAGGCGGGCGTTGCGTGGCGGTTTGTTTTTAATTTTACAAACGGCTGCGTAAGTCCGGCGGTGATTGATCGCATGTTTTATCGCAGGACGCAGTCACTCGCTCCTTAAGTAGAGAGCAATTGCGTCAGCGGTCTGTATAAATAGCAGTTGTTTTGGCTCGCCGCTCACTTAGTGGTTAGCCACCGTAGAGTCTATATCACCTAAGGATGCCTCGTGTAGAGGCGAAACACGTGTCGTATTGTCGTCAGTGGTGTGTCTTTCCTAGTGTAGCGGTGTTGGGAGTAGTGGTGCTGGGATTAGTGGTGACGGGGATAGTGCACGTAATTGAGGGAGGGCGGGAGGTGTTCTTCAAACTATGTAAGACACATCATTTCGTTTTGTAGTTTAAATGGATGGCAACAAACTCGATAGATGACGATGCCATCTTATTTACTAGGCTGTATGATGGTTAAACCTTTGCCTGCTGTAATTGACAAATATAAACAAATTAAAAATTAAACTTAGGGATGTGACATTGAGTGAAAAAAATCGATTAATAAAAAAATCGATTTTTTCTCTGTGATAATAATCGATTTAAGAAAAATCGATTTTTTTTATAAAAAAATAATCGATTTGTGCAAAAAAAATGTATTCGAAAAATAATCTTCTGGTTTTAGAAATAAACTACAGAACAATTTTTTTAACATATAACTTTGAACAATAAAAACTAAAAATAATTACTGCCACAAATGTTCAGTGCCATTTAACAATTTATTACAACCAAAATAAACAGAAACGATAAATTAAACTAAGTTTTACGGATTTTATCGCGTTTAATTTAACTTTTTAATTCCCGACATTTCAGGTGCTTTACAGCACGCATGGTCACAGGGGAGACTGAGGTGTTTGACGTCCCTATGTCATAGTTGAACCACAAATCCTCGTAAAAGAACACCGATTCCTACCAAGGATGATTCGCGAGGCTATCGAAATTAAAAAAACATCCTAATTTCAATAGAGAAGATGGATGGGTGCTGCCATCTGCTTGGCATCCTATAATTAATAAAATTCAATCCAAACCCAAGCATACCACTGTAAGACTTCAAGATACTGTAAGCTCATTTTGCGTAGATCCACCAGGCTAACTATGACATCTGGACGTCAATGACCTCAGTTCCCCCCGTGACCATGGGTGCTGTGAAGCACTCGAAACATCAGGAATTAAAAAGTTAAATTAAGCGTTATCAAATCCGTAAAAATTAATTTCATTTAATGTGTAGTCTTCGCGTAAATATAAGAAATCACTAAGAAACCATAATTTTAGTAAACGATAGTTTTTTTTAAACTAATTTTGAACAAACAAAAAGTCTAAATATCATTATGCCACTAATTTTCAGTATCATTTACATTGGATTAGAATGAAAATAAAATAAAAATATAATTATAAATAATCCGACGACAACCTTTTGATCTCAAAACTAAAATACAAGACAAATCTTTTATTAAACTTGTGTAAACCAAAAAAGTAAAAAAAATATTGCCATGAATTTTCAGTTAAAGACTTTAAAAACAATCATTTCACCAAAATTCTTCTTCGTCTCTTACCAAAATACGGTTTCGTTTTTTCCTGACAATATTTCCCGCTTTCAAAAATAATCTTTCGGCTGGCGCGGAACTGGCCATCACTGAGAGGTGTTTAAAAGCCAATTCGGTTAGTTTAGGGAAAGTTCCTTCAGAGCTTCTCCATATATGCCTTGAGATTTGATAGTGGTGCCGCAATATATAGATCCAATTCAGTATTTTTGCCTATTGACGTGTTGGCCGCTATCATTTTTTCATTATAAAATACTTCTGTCTGTCACTTTTACGCGTTTCACAAGACATTTTTATTGTTTATATATAATTGTTTACACTAACCAAAGAAAGAAAGAAAACCACAGAATACTTTTACTCCTAGCGGAGGAAGAAACCTGTTGAAAACATACGAGAAGCGAAACTGTTTATATACATAAAGGTGGCGCCGTCTTTTGATTGACTTATTCATGTTACTGAACTTACTTCACGTTTTTACATCCATCGCACAGATGACTCGGATTACAAAAATCGATTGAAACGCGTTATTTACATAAAACGCGATTTATTAAAAATCATTTTTATTATAAAAAAATCGACTCCGAAAAATCGATTATAAGAAAAAATAATCGATTAATATGAAAATCGATTATTTTTTCACATCCCTAATTAAACTATTTACCTTCCATTCCCGCACAAAATAAAAAGTTAAAAAGTAAATTTATATTTTTACTTTTTTAATTCGCAATGTAGTAAACGTATAATATGCGAGAATTTGGCAAATTCGGTCCGTTAATAGGTAGTTTAGATGAAGGAACTTCAAACGTCAAATTTTTGGTAATTGATTACTTTTACAGTTTCTAAAACATTTGAATTCTCTTCAATTAAATTCAACTATATTTCTAGGTATTTGCGGCAAACACATCAGAAGTGCTTACTTATCACCAAGTAGCTTTGAATAGATTTAGTCCACAAGAAGGTTGGATTGAACAAGATGCTTTAGAAATTCTTAACGCTGCTTTAGAATGTATTGAGGTATGCTTTTTATCTTGTCTGATAAAGGCCACAAAATTATATTATAAAAAGAAAAACATATCTATTGCTTATTCTTTTTAAGCGTTTTTCTAATTTAAGAAATTAATTCTTACTATTGTTATTGTAAAATTTTAATTACAGGATATAATTACAATTGGAATAACTAAATGTTACAGTTAAATGATTTGGTGATGATGCTGACTGTATAATAACGATAACCTATCATTTTTAGATATTTTTTTATTACCTTCCTATTTGATTGCTGTAATGGGTCTAATTTTTACCCAATTGCTCCAGAAGAAGGGTAAACATTTTCAAATATATGTATGTATGTATGTCTATTTCTTGGCATGCTCGATGGAAGTTGATCTTAGTAGATTATTTATTTTAAATTGTACTACAATATAATATTAATTTGACAATGTGTAATTGTTATTGTGTTCATCAATCCAACTAGCTTGCTTTATTTTCTTTCTTGCAAACATATCTTTCACTATTATTGCAAGCCTGAAACAATATTACCCCGAAAATTCAGGCAGATGTGTTGAGAGAATTTTACTTAAAATATTGCACTTATAGGTATTATTGTATTACTGTTGTATCTTGTTAGGTCTGTCATATTATTTGTATAAAAAGATTTACTTGGTCAGTGTTAATTTACAAATATCTATACCATTTTCATTAGATAATTAATTCAAAAAAGAAAATATAAGTTTAAGTTACTAATTTTTAATTATTGTGTCAATTATAGGTAGCTGTAGATAATTTGAAAAAGCTGGATATTGATCCTGAAGATGTTGTGGGTATTGGTATTACAAATCAAAGAGAAACTACAATAGTATGGAACTCTTTAACTGGAGAACCTCTTTACAGTGCTATAGGTAAGATCTTTTTCCATTAATATAGTATTTTTATTTTTGATAAATATGCTTTTTATAGTTTTTAGAAGTAAGTATAACTACATACTGTTAACAAAAAACTATAATTTTGTTCCCAGTATGGTCAGATGTAAGAACATCAAAGATCGTGGATGACCTAATTAAGACAAAAGGAGCACAATGTGTGAATGCTGTTGCTCAAACTAGTGGGCTTCCATTGTCAACATATTTTACATCAGTTAAATTAAGATGGCTACTTCAAAATATCACAATAATTAAACATGCAGTTGCAGCTGGCGAATGTCTCGCTGGAACAATAGATTCCTGGCTTATATGGGTAAAATGTTATAGATATTAGAAATTTCATTAATTTTTATTTCAAACATAATTTATTTACATTATTGCAATGATAAAAAAATTCCAGAAATGTTATAGTTTACTAACATATCCCTTAATAGTGTCTTACTGTTTCTTACTCATTCTTTTTTTTTAAATTTCTCAATTTAATTTCACTGTTGGACTTTGACCTTTTACAAAAATGCACTAAATGTATTTAAATAATTATAACTTTTAACAAAAAGTAAAAACTGACTTCAAATTGCTAAAACAGAAGTTATTTAATTGCTCCCCTAGGGGTGAAATTTTTTGTCCAAATTTATATATTAATTATAATAATATTATTTAATTCGACGGCTCTGTGGCTTAGCAATCAGTTGTTGCGCTGGGGGCCGCGGGTTCGACACCCGCACGGACCAAGTATTTGTATGGTCTACAAATAATTGTTCTGGGTATGGATGTTTGTCCTTGTGCAATTTATGTTTGTAAACTGCCTCCATGACACAGGAGAAAATCCTAGTGTGGGGGTAAAGCTCTTTTTTTTTTTTTTAAATATTGGACCACCCTTGAAGTAAAATCTATTTAATAAAAAAAGAATCATTAACATCAGTTCTCAATCTGCGAAGATATATGAAATACCTTAAACAATAGTCCAATCTGAAACTTTTTCCATATTTTCCTTCCATTCTTGGGGATGGAATTTTTTTTCAAAATTTAATGGGATCATCATTGAGGAAAAGCCTATTTAATAAAAAAAGAATCATTAAAATTGCTACCGCATAACATACATACAAAAAACATACACTTGAATTGAGAACTTCCTCCTTTTTGAAGTCGGTTAAAATAATTTGCCTATACTCAACACATTGACTTCTACAATCAAAACTAAACCTTAGTTCAGCCAGTAAATCTTACATTTATTATTTGCAACATTAGCGGTAACATGTATATACATAAGGAGAAAAAGCTGTTTCTTTTCCTTTACACCCTTGCAATTGCAACAAATCCTTGAATGAAATTTGTAAATAGTTTAACTTTTTTATATTAATCAATACTTTCAATTATTTCAAACAAGAACCTAACTGGAGGAATCAATGGTGGAGTACATGCAACTGATGTTACAAATGCATCTCGCACACAACTCATGTCATTAAGAAGTTTGCAGTGGGACAAGGGATTACTGAGATTTTTTGATATTCCAATACAAATCCTACCAAAAATAAAAAGTTCATCTGAAATATACGGATATATTTCTACAGGATCACTCCTTGGCACTCCAATTGCTGGGGTAAGTTCCAACACATAGTTACCTACCACAGATGGATAACTTAAACATACATATTTATTTGAGTGAAATAAAAACAATACCAAATCTTTATTAACCTATAACAATCTTTTCTCAATAATTGCCACATTTCACATTTAGAACACTGCTCCCTGTCACCAATCTGAATATTTTATGTCTGACCTGAACAAGATGGTTACACCGCTATCTATCGGAAGATCCCTTATTACATACACAGGATGATATGGGGTGATACATTCTCTTATGTTTCAAACACATGATTTCACAAGTAAACAGCAGTTCACAAGTGAACATAGGTCACAAAGTATGATCCTGAGTTACCTGCAACCATTGATCCCCAGTAGGGAATGCAACTCCAGAAAATTACTCCTGCATTTATTTGTGGTTTCTCCAACAATATTCATGGTCCATTTCCAATTTAACTTGATGATCCCCTGGGCTTATCAGTTATTCTTGTTCTACTGCAGATGTACTTACGGATTTTATAATGCAGAGAACCTCGAACGTAGCCATCCCCACAGAGTATTGAGTTATTTTGTGCCTCATATACTTTAGAACCACGCCTCGGTACCTTAAGTAATCGCTAACAAATTGCAGTCTTTACACTTTTCATTAAAGACTGTATGTACAGTTTTCGCAAGTTTTTGGATAAGGGTGCCATGAAAGCGGAACAATGGCATCATTAGATGACGCTTTTCCAGTATAATGTTTAGACAGGGCTTAATCTGTTATCCCGATGGGGTCTACTTAAATTCTTAGTACACTCTAACCCTCCGTTACCATGACTACTACAATATTTAGGCTATTCCGCCAAGTACTCGGGACATATTTTTCATATCTTTGCTTGAAAGTTCTCTATGCCAACTCTCATCGACTTCCATGGGATAGGATCTGATGCAGCTACCACACGCGAGTTAGGGAAAGGATATGATGAAATTAGATAGAATTTAATATAACCGCTCAAATATTTCTTGGGTGCAGCAGTTGCATACTCGTATACCGCGCCTGATGGGCAAGTGGTTGAAATGTTTTTCCCTAGCTGTGTTTATTTAATAATAATATTAAGATTTTCTACATCAGAGATTTTGCAAGCTTAGGCAAGCTTTGAATATATAAGCCATTCCAACTGATGGTTAATAATAATGTGGCTTAAAGAGAGATTTAAGGGGGTTGAGAAAGGAGAGTTGATAGCAGATCTTCGATATACAACCTAATGCTGCGTACAGACTGATGAAAGATAACATGCAATGTAACGTGAAAGAAGCATTTCATCCGTGTAAAAGCAGCGCGTGCACGAAGCGAACATGTACCTACTGGCATATGTTTCCAGCGTGAATGCGCTGCGAATACGCGAACAGAATGGAGTGTGACGACCAATTGCTGACTCTGAGGTCTGAGGTCTTAAAAAAACACTGAAGACCTTGACGTTGGTGGCATACAGAGTTGTACAGACGGAGAGCTGTTGCCGAATTAATGGCTGACATGAGATTCACGCACTCTTCACGTCTCAGCACGTCTTCAGTTCGTGTTAGCAGGCGTCTCAACACAACCCGTCCACACTGGCGCTCTGAGCACACTGCGCGCCCCTTTGTGTTCGTTCAAAAAACCGACAAATCAGGGCGCTACTTGAAATGCTCGTGGCTCGTGCTTGAACTGCGCATAAAATGCACAGTTCGCGCACACAAGGCGTCCAGTCTATAAAAATTTGTTACAAAGTGTGATTGATACATTGCACTGATGTGGACGGCAAATTCTTTCATTTCATGTTACGTTGCGTAAGTCTGTACGCGGGATAATTATTTACAATTTACAGATATTATTTACCTTAAAATATATACAAGAGTTTATGAATAGGTACTGTCAGTATAAAAGTTTATACCGACAGTATTAAAAAAAATTAATGATATTTTCAGTGTTTGGGTGACCAACAAGCAGCGTTAATTGGTCAAAATTGTATGAGATTTGGAGAGGCCAAATGTACTTTTGGTACGGGATGTTTTTTATTATATAATACAGGTAATCTTCATTCTTTCTAACATTCATTCTTTTTAACAATTAGCATTTTACATTCAGTAGAAACTTAATTACTTTATTTATACCTATTGTAACGTTTCGTCCCTTCTATATAGGCCGTCTGCTGCTGTTTAATAATATTAAATATATGAATTAACATGAACAGGCTAATTAATATTGATTGTTTAGGCCAAAAATGGCATTTGAAATTCGCACCAATCACGTTTGACTTGGCGCGTCACCCGATGGTATGTAGTTGAGGTAAAGGTCGCTCGATGCGTGGGCGAAGCAGTAGCTTGACCGCAGCGGCTCTGTCGACTAGTGTATTTATTTGTGACCGCTGGATCGGTTTCGCGCGGCCAGTTTTTGGTTTTGGTGGTCTAGAATTTGATTATTTGTGCGTGTTTAATTTACTGTTGAATATTTGGGTTTCGTGTAGACCGCCTCGAATTGGTTGTCCAAGTTGTACGTTTCGTGACAAGAGGCTTGTTTTGAATTTGAGTGATTAAAGTAACTTCGTTTGCAAGTAATTTACGTCAATTTGTATAGTGATTGCATGTTGAAGTGCATTTTGCAATATTTAACTTGCTTGTGTGACGTGGAACCTTGCGCGCACGCCGAGTGGACTGACGGTGTGGAATTTGATGCTCGCATTCCATTTCGAGGGCGTGGCCCGGTTTATTGTTTTTGGAAGTTAATGTTGAATTGTAACGTCGCGCTAAGTACCTTTTTGTGTGTTGACTATTCAGTTAGTTTTGCGTGTCAGCGAGGCTGATTTTGAGTTCTTATTGTGGGCGTGGTATTTTAATATCGTACGAAAGAATTTTAGCTTGTCGTGGGGAACGCTGAACTTTGAGACTCGAGAAGAGGCCGCGTTCGTTCCCGGGTTTGTAAATTTGTGCTACGTGAACCCGGAACCTTGAATATTGAACTTTGAACGACGGTTTGTTACTTGTGCCGTGTGTCACGTGTTTGATTACGATTAACGGGGATTTAGTGGAGTTTGAAGTTAATTAAATGTACAATAAAGTTGATAGATTGCACTAGTGTACAATAAAGTGGATTAACTGAAATAGTGAAATGAAGGCAGCAGTTTTCAATTGGTGGCGTCCGCTGGAGTGATACCACATCGTGGGGCAGCATCGGACCAGGCCGCTGCCCGATCACCTCGGCTAAATCAGGTCACACATGTACACACTACTACACACAAACTTACATGCACCTACCTACTGCCTGACCGAGCCTTGTGGTCAGTCTTAGCTTGGGAACCAGGTACGTCCTATTTAATTACCTAGCCTTATATCTTTTGTGTAGAATAAATGTCCATAGGCCATTTGGGCCCCGTCTTCTGTTGTTCGTCGAGGAAGCTACTATGGGCCCTAGCCCAATCGACTTTTGCTGGGACAACTCAGGGCGTGAACATTGATCTTTCCAAAGAATCTTTCTAAAGGCGAGTTGTAGGCCGTTTATCATTATTATTTAATGGCGCGATAAAACGTTTATGTTGTGTATAAACAAAACGTAAACTTGTTACTCTTAGGTCTTTGATGGCAGAACCCAATAATTATTTTAATTAAATAATTTCCGTCCTCTAAGAAAGGGTTCAAAACAGGTTACAGAACATTAAATCATCACTTTTCCACTTGTATGAGGTTCACATCAGTCAATTCCTTATTTATTAACTCCTTCTTTAGAGTTTGGTGGTGACCTAATAGTATAGCTGCTTGATCCTCGGCGTCCCTAATGCCGCCTACAAAAGCATGAAGTATGGTTACCTCTATAGCAGTTGGAGCTGATATTTAGGTGTGACTAACTACCCTCTCTAACTCATCAGCCCTCTGTTGGTAGTTTTCCGTAGGTGCTTGAACTTGATATCGTAACTAAACAATAAGCTTATTCATGTGTTTGTTGCCATACCGCGTCGCTTGGGATTCATACAGAACGCTCAATGAACTTCTTTCTCAGGCATCTGCTCGTGACTAAGCTTGACATTACCTCTTAGTTTTAAGGCAAATGCCATAAATATTTGTTCTTCTCTCCAGTCACTGTTCTTACAGAGGATGTCAAACTGATACTTTTAAGCCACCCATGATGTAGTGTCAAATCGTAGTAAATTAAATTTGTCTGATGTCAGTACCGGTCCCATATTTTGGAGACAAAATCTCGTGTCTTAGGGTGGAAAAATAGGGGGTGAAGTTTTTATTTCGATATTCGATTAAAACGTTTTATATAAAACTAGCTGTTCTAGGCGACTTCGCCTGGCGTGTAATTTAGGGTTTTAATTTTTTTGCGAGGAACCCTAATTATTTTTCTAAAATAAAAGTAGCCTAAGTTACTCCTTATGATATCAGCTATCTGTCAGTGAAAGTCCCATCAAAATCGTTCCAGCCGTTTCGGAGATTAGCCGGAACAAACAGACAGACAGACAAAAATTTTAAAAATTGTGTTTTTGTTATAAGTACCATATATAATTTCATATGCATTTAGTGAAAAGCTGTTATTTTGACATTACAAACAGATACTCCAATTTTATTTATTTGTATAGATTAATGCTAGATTTCAATAGTAAATGAAGATTATAATTAAAAATATCCTCTTTAAAGGGTCATAAAATAAAACTTAATAAAATTTAAAGCTAAGACATAGTGTAAGAAAGTATTAAAGCCCTGATTCTTTCTAGTTCTTTGAAGTTCGCTTTTAATTTTTATTAAGTCTAATTTTCTTATCACCGAGCGTCTAATTTTGCCTCCAGTTTTTGCATAACCGAAAAATGATGGGTTAAGGGTATGACATTATACTTTTTTATTACGATAGTTACACACGACGATACACAAATTTTTCGATACCGAAAAATAAGTGTACTGTTATATTTTTCGCTACTTTAAGCATCAACATAAAGGTTTCTTTCGGTTAACGCCAGCCGACCGTGACACCCCACAGACCCCGCAGAGCACGCACTAGCAACATTGATTGCGCTTCAAAATTAGCTTCTTATAATAAGGTGACCCAGTATGGCGATAATTATATCATATTGCTAAAACTAAAATTGCTCGGTGCAAACGGAGCAATAAGACTAAGGCGACCCCTGTGACGCTATCCGTAAGTTTTTGCAACATCAGGGAACTACATTCAAACCTTAACGCTGTTCACTACCGTCTGGAGACGGCGAAACCGGCCTTGCTCTTTTTAACCGAGACTCAGGTATCCTCCCCGGCTGATACCCCGAGTAGAAGAGATATGAATCGCTCCTACTCGAGGGAAAAAATTAGAACACTACTTTGTGCCCCGGGCTGGAGTTTGCGTATACATCAGAGAGGACTTCTATTTGCGACGTCTCGGCAGTCTTGAAGGTACGGACCGATCGACTGTCCCCGCATCTACGGGTGCCTCTATAGGTCCTATAGCGGTAATGCCGAAATCGACCACGTCCAAATGGTTACAGATTGCTTGCTATAGCAGGTTCCATCTGCAGAGATCGTGATCCTTGGCGAATTTAACGCCCACCACGCCGATTGGCTCGGTTCACGTTTAACTGATCATGCGGGAGATCTGTTTATGATTTTGCTTTGACATATAGTCTTACACAGCTGGTTACTTCGCCTACGCGGATTCCAGAGGTGGAAAATCACGCACCTTCCCTGTTGGACCACCTCTCATTCGGACGGATATCAGGTTTCCATCGACACCCGTCTTCGCTCCTCGGACCATTGTCTTGTCCGGAGTGTGGTGCCACTCACAGTAACATCGCGGTTGCATTCTGCAGGCTGCCGCCGTGTTTGGCATTATAAGTCGGCCGATTGGGATAGGATGCGGTCTTTTTTTACATCATACCCTTGGGGGCGGTTTGCTTCTCGCCGGACGATCCCGGCGTTGTTGCTAATTCTGTCGCTGATGTGGTACTTCAGAGTATGGAACTTCTTCTTCCATCCTCGGTGGTGCCCATCGGAGCCAGATCCCAGCCATGGTTTGGTCGCTCCTGTGAAATAGCATCACGCTATAAGCAAGAGTGCTACCGGGCCTGCGCTGACATTTCAACGTCTTGGGATGTAAACACCAGCGCTCTTAAAAAGAAGTACGATTCCGCCTCCAGGTCCTTCAAGAGTCATTACCAAGGCAAGGTCATCGCACATCGGCAGAATTGGCGAGAAGCTAGTCCGCCTTCCTTCTGGAACCCGTGCATTCTGGTCTCTTACCAAGGCTGTCCAATGGAACTTCTATCAGCCATCTCTGCACAAAAAGGACGACTCACTGGCCCATGCCGCAAAGGAGAAAGTCGATCTGTTAGGCTCTCTTTTTGCGTCTAAACCAAGTAGAAGTGCTTGTCTATTTGTCAAAAGAAAAGAAAGCGTACACAGCGTTATTTCGTTTTCTTCCCATTATAATTTTATTAAAATTATTAGATATGAAATTAATCGTTTAGCTTTAGCGAGGTGATAGCGAGTGTAAGGTGTAAGCGATGTCGATTTCGATATCCGTGTGTTGGTGTGGGTGACTGGTACCTAACTGACAGACGCTCGCGGCCGGCCTCAGCATGGATTCCCCGCTCCGAGTCGCTGAGAATCTCTCAGCGACTTGCGGCGTTGTGCTCATCCACGCCGCGCAATATTTTTCGTTATCGAAATAATTTCCATTATGTAATGGTTATACAAAGTTGTAACAAAACCCCTTAAAATAGCGCTACCGTTATTTTATACCGGTGAAATATCTGTGAATTTTAACGACTTTTGGTCTACCTTTAAAAATTGTGATATCACTATTTTGTACTGGTAGCGAAACTTCGCACCTTAACTGCAATCAATCCTTGCTTGTGTCTATATCAGTATTCCGTTCTGACACTGGTTTTTACGTGCGGGGTGAGTAAATATGTCGATTACGATGAGAAATGGATGTATTATTCCACACACACAGCAAGTGTACAATCACATCGTCCAAAATCGCTAAGCTTTTTTGGTGAGGTTCGAAATATTCGCAGATGTCGTAGGTCGTAGACATAAGGTTGCGTCTTACTTGCATAAACAATTTTAAGCATTGTCTATTTTTACGCCCGCATATTTTATAACTTGATCCTTATTATTCAGTCGTAAGGAATGATTTCTCATAAGTGTTGTAATTTCTATAGGAATGCCAAACTTCCGGAACATACTCATCATCATCATCATTAATAGGCATCCCCCAAGGAATGTCACAAGGCACGGCCCTGAACCACCTGCATCCATCGTCTTCCTGAATCTCATACCAGATCGTCACTGCATCTAGTGGGAAGCCGCCTTACACTTTGCTTACCGGTACGAGGCTGCCATTCGAGAACCTTTCTTCTCCATCGGTTGTCGATTCTTCGAGCTATGAACGAGAACGTGTACGTGTTAGAGCCGTGCGGCTATATTATAGTTGTAGCACGAATGGATCGGCTCGACTGTCGTTTGATCGGTCCTTACTGAATACCAGCGAAAAAATTATAGCTTAATGCTGCTGTGTTTTTAATAGTCACTGTAGTGAACCGGAGATCCTTTTTAATGGACACATCTATCAGCAAATTCATATAATTATAACATTAACTAATTTGTACAAAACGGTATTAAATTATGCCTAAACCTTCCTCGTGAATCAGTCTGTCTATTGGTAAAAACTGAATGAAAATCTCCACAATAGTTTATGCGATAAACACAGCCATCCATTAATATAGACGCTTGTCAAGTACCTTTTATATTATCTATAGATGTAGATACAATTTTCTTAATATAGAGTTAATTTATATCTTTTAAATGTAATAATATTGCAACACCTGTAATAGGTTACTAGTTTTTTATTTATAGAATAGCGAAATAAACGAGCACACAGTCCACCTGATGGTAAGTGGTTGCTGTGGCCCATAGACATCTACATCTATGCTAGTTTGCGAATCAAAATGCAGATACGTTTGTCACCCCAGAGGACTAAGATGGAATGCCTCGTTTCCAGTAAAAAGGGTCTCCGGTTCTCTACACTCACTATATCACAACAGCATTAAGCTGCTATTTTACGCTGGTATTCTGTGAGAGCATGGTCCTACCCCTGTCGAGCTGACCCATTTGTGCTACAACCATATTTAGTTGCAGCGTGGCTCTACCACGTATAAAAAGTATCATTTATATTTTATTTTAAGATCCAATTTTTTTATTATTAGTTAGCTAATAAATACTTATTTCTTTTGGCAAATCTTAACATTTTAGATGAATCAATAGTGCATTCACAAAATGGACTACTTACAACAGTTGCTTACAAATTAGGACCTGATGCCCCACCTATATATGCATTAGAAGGATCAGTCGCTGTAGCAGGTAAGAACCTCAAAAATTTATGATATTCTTTCATTATTTTAAAAATAATGACATTATTCTATCATAAAAATTTTAACAGGTGATACATTAAAATGGTTAAAAGATGAATTAGAAATAATGGATGATTTATCAGAATCTGAGACAGAAGCAGCACAGGTGACTGATGATGAAGAGGGCAGTATATGTTTCGTCCCTGCGTTTAACGGTTTATATTCTCCATACTGGAAAAAAGATGCAAGAGGGTAAGTTTATGAGTTTTTGTGATTAAGTTGCAAAACGCTTACAAATTGTTGAAAACTCAATAATTTGTTTGTAAAAGTTACTTACGGTGGTTAAAGATACAATAAAACGTACATAATATGTCAATTATTTGCTTGGAAAATTTATTTTCGTGCAGTCGAGATTTGTGTTCTCTGTAATAATGACTAAAAATTTTAAACATTACATGTGGACTACCGTCCTGGTCCTAGTCAATGTTTTTTTAAAGCAAATATCCTATGAATTTGGTGAAGATGTGATATATGTTATATATCGAACGATAACATGATAAGTCAAACCAAAAAGAAAAATTAAAAACTTGAAAACGAACCGCGTTCTGGATACCTGTTTTAACTACTGTCATTCAAGACTCAAGACCCTTTTTCCAGAAACAGTTAGAGGTAGGTAGGTAAAATAATTATTAATACTAGAATCTACAGTCCCTTGAAGCTGAAAAATTTTCAAGTTTCTAAGTAATCGCAATCAAAACATACGATGCTTAATTACAGAATGTCTATTCAGCAATTAAATGTATCATTTACTTATGTATTACATTAGCTATTAAAATGCAAGAATACCTGCGGAGATTCTTCCGCAGTTTTCTCTCCGGTGAGAGAAGTCTCGGAAACAAAGTGTTCTTTTCTTATGTCGAATAAATAAGTTTCCATAATCACTTTAACTGTACAGAATAGGACGGAGTTTATGTACGTATAGTTTAAATCTGGAGTGATATAAATCGCGACCCTGATATTTATTTTTATAGGTGTCCATTAAAAAGATTTATAGATGTCAATTAAGTTTGGTGACATCTGGCATAATGTTAGGGGAATCATTGGTAACTGTCAGTAAAATTGAAGTTAAAATTGCAGACTATATACGTCCCACTGCTAGGCATAGGCCTCCTCTCATTTCTGAGAGGGTTTTAGTTTACATCTCCGACCCGCTCAATGCGAAGTTGGCGAACATCACATGTCTTCGAATTTTTTTTTCTTATTTCTTGGACATGCGGGTTTCCCACGATGTTTTTCTTCACCGCCGAGAACATGGTAAATCAGCACTTAAAATTGCGATTAACAATTTCATTGGTACCGGCGGAGATCGAACCCAAGTTGCTCGCGTACAGTGAAATTTATAGCGAACGCCTAGTCATTGAGCTACCACGACTTAATAATAAAATTGAAAAGTATTTTAATTATTATTAGTATCATCTGCGGGTTGAGTGGGATGACTCGTGGCGCACACGTGGTGCGTGCGGCGCTCGAAGCGGTGTGCCAGCAGACGCGCGCGGTGTGCGCCGCGATGGCTGCAGACTGCGCGCCATTGCGCCGTTTACTTGCCGATGGTGGTGTCGCGCAAAACTCGCTGCTAATGCAAATGCAAGCAGACGTTGCCGGTATACCTGTCGTGAGTATCCTGCAAGTGTTGTTATCTGACCCGATTTCTTATTTATCAACATATAAATATTGTACTTGCATTCATCTTTCCTTAATAATAAATGGAAATCTAACATTTATTTTAAAAAAAAATTTGTCTGTAATTATAATTGGTGCGGGAACTAAGCAAGAAACGGTTCCTAGCTTTGTAGCACAATATGTGTTATGGTCACATAATTGATGTACATCTATACATCTATACAAATAAATAAAATTGAAGTGTCTGTTTGTAATATCAAAATTACAGCTTCTTACTAAATTCATATGAAAGTATATACGGTACTAATAACAAAAATAAAAATTTTAAAGTTTTTGTCTGTCTGTCTGTCTGTCTGTCCGTCTGTCTGTCTGTTTGTTCCGGCTAATCTCCGAAACGGCTGGACCGATTTTGACGGGATTTTCACTGGCAGATAACTGATGTCACAAGGAGTAACTTGGGCTACTTTTATTTTAGAAAAAAAATTAGGGTTCCGCGCAAAAAAATAAAACCCCAAAATACACGCGAGCGAAGTCGCGGGGAACAGCTAGTTATTAAATAAAATTGAAGTGTTTTTTCTGTAATATAAAAATAACTGCCTTCTATTGAGTGAAGAGTTATTTGCATGTCATTAAGATAGGAATAACCATTTGTAATGAAAAAATATCTGTCTGTCTGTCCAGGCTAATCTTCGGAATTGCTGAACCGATTGCAATGAAACTTCACGAATAGATAGAGAACAATGCCAGGAGTGATGTTTTATCAGAAATATATGGACATTTAAAAAAAAACGAGAAATTTATAAAATAAATGGTTTTTCTAAATCTAAACAACGCCACGTTAATAGATCCTGACCAGGCCAGGGCAGGGCGCTAGTATGTTATAAAAATGAAAAAAAAAATGCCATGTTTTGTATCAAATCAAAAACAGTGCAATGAAAATCGATCAAATCAGTAAGCATGGGCGTTTTCAGTTTTTAGCTGCAACGGTTGCATAACCGATATTGAATTTTCATATCGACATTGAAAACCGTTTTCAAACCGTTTGCTTCTGAATGCATATAAGACAACTGAAACATAACTGCAACCTGTAGAACCAGTGTAAACATTTGTTTTAAAAATTACTTGGATTATTTTAGGTAGTTTATTTAGTAATGATTATTTAAGTTGAGCGATTTTCTTTCATGCGTAACTAGTTTTAGGATTAGTAGAATAGTTTTTTTAAGTTAGAACTTAAGTTCCCAGTAGTAGATTTATACGACAATGTTTGTTTACAATATTTACAAACAGAAAAGTACACGAAATTATCCTTTTTATCAAAGTGAGACCATGTTTCACCAGCCTTACGCGACTATCTAGACTATAAAGTCTATTTACAAAAAGATTAAGAGAGTCAAAATCAACTTAAACTATACTATATTTTCACTGTACACAAAATTGTCTGAATTAAAACTAATGTACAAAATGCACACTAATACGAGGGCTGCACTAAAAGTATCGGGAATGGAATATTTCCTCTGTTCCTGTCATATTTTTAGACGGCTCCGTGGCGCAGTGGCTTAACAATGAGTTGCTGCGCTGGGGGGCGCGGGTTCGAATCCCGTACGGAACAAATATTTGTATGGCCTACAAATAATTGTTCCGAGTCTGGATGTTTGTCCTTGTGCAATTTGTGTTTGTAAACTGCCTCCACGATACAGGAGAAAATCCTAGTGTGGGGGCAACGTTTTTTTTTAAAAAAAAAATATATTAAAATCTTTTTAATTGAAAACTCCTTGGTTTTAAAAATCGAATACCATTTATTTATTTAAAAAGGATTCTCGGTCTTGTCACAAGGTTTTGTCAAACTTGTTTAATCGTTGAGAAAATGGAATTGACTCGAGAAAATTCAAGAGCGATGATTTATTATGACTTTCGAAGTGGTTTAACACAAAAACAGTGTGTTGACCGGATGATTTCTGCATTTGGTGATGAAGCACCATCCAAAACCACAACTTATCGCTGGTTTGCTGAATTTCAACGTGGACGTGTCAAGCTCAGTGATGATCCCCGTCAAGGTCGTCCAAAAACTGCAGTCACCCAAGAAAACGTTGATGCTGTGCGTAAGCTGATTGAGGAAGATCGACATGTGACATACCGCGAAATTCAGGCAACTTTAGACATTGGCATGAGTTAAATACAAATAATCTTGCATGAACAATTAGGTGTAAAAAAGTTGTTTTCCCGATGGATACCGCATTCGCTCTGTGAAGAGCAAAAAGCGGCTCGCGTTACTTGGTGCGTCAGAACTCTCGAAGATTTCACGCAGGATCCTCAAATGCTGTATACAACATCGTATCAGGTGACGAATCCTATACATACTTACTACTAAACCCGAAATAAAAAACCAGTCACGAGTTTGGGTGTTCGAAAATGAGTTAAAGCCAACGAAAATTCGTTCGTTCACGGAGTATTGCAAAAAAAATGGTGGCCACGTTTGTCTCCAAAACCGGCCATGTTACGACTATTCCTCTTGAGGGACAAAGAACGGTTAATGCAGAATGGTATACTAGCATTTGTTTGCCACAGGTCGTTTCTGAACTCCGTAAAGAGAACTGCAACCGCCGCATCATCCTCCATCACGACAATGCGAGTTCTCACATCGCACACAAAACAAAAGAGTTTTTAGAGCAAGAAAACATAGAATTATTAGACCATCCGCCGTACTGCTCCGACCTAAGCCCTAATGATTTCTATACTTTCCCTAAAATAAAGAATAAATTGCGTGGACAGAGATTTTCATCACCTGAAGAAGCTGTGGACGCCTACAAAACGACCATTTTGGAGACCCCAACTTCCGAATGGAATGGTTGCTTCAATGATTGGTTCCATCGTATGGAAAAATGTGTCAAATTTCGCGGAGAATACTGCGAAAAGCAATAAATACATTTTTAAATAGTAATGTTGTGTCACTTCCTTGATTCCCGAAATTTTCAGTGCCACCCTCGTATTGCAAATAAATGCACGGACGCAACGTAAAATAGCACGCGCCATCAAGGTCAAGTGCGTAATTGTTGCTTTTTGCAAAAAAAAAACAAATTGGAAACAAAAAGTTGCCTAAACGAAATATAATGTAGTCATACAAATCTAAGTCCAATAAGCTAAAGATCATTTCAAATTTGACAACACTCACAACTACGCAAACATATTACAAATTAGGCAATTTTAACCGTTTAAAATTCTACCTTATTGCTTTAGATAATTTTATATTTTGAGATGTGCATCGTTGTGTGATAACTACAACATTGCAACGAAAACGATATTCGCTTCATCTCTTTCTGTACGTATTTATGGTATCATCGCAAGAACGAGAAGCAACATATATCAACAAAGACAATAGTTAGTACCTGGGCCGTGTTGGCAGATCCTTCCACAGTCTGCGTTTTTCATTTGTTTGTTCGTTTTCGTAAAGCTTGTCTAAACTGAAATGACGCGCCCCACTACTTAATTAGTTGATTTCGATGTGTGAGTGCAAATATTAATAACGACGCTTCATCTGTGTTTGAGCGTCGACTGCTCCGCGAACTTTGATCTGTATGCCTACGTGACGGTCGACTAGTCGCTTGATAAATCCGACAACGCTCTCCTTAGGGAGCAGCGTTGAGGCATTGTATGAAACAAAACGTCCGCTCTCTGTCACCTTCAGGCAATTATGACAAGTTGGACAAAAAATCCAAGAAAAGCCGCTTCTTAGCAAATACGGTCTACAAAGAAATTGAAGTTAAATTATTTAATTATGATGGTATTTCTTCTATTTGTTAATTAATGGTTTAAAACATATTGTTTTTATTTTGTAATTAATTAAACCAGATTGATATTCTTTCGAAATATTTATTTTACTAATTAGTATAATTACTACAACAATATGCATGTAAATTATGTAAAGTATCACTATTCACTCATCTCCATAGATTCACTATCATCTGAATCAGAGTCATTAACAGCAATAATAAATTCAAAGTCTATGTCAAAATATTGCAAATACTGTTTTTCTGTGTCTTCAACATGCCGACATGTATTTGCCCACATAGTACTATCAATCATTTCGAGTCGTTCATTTATAAATGACATAATGGATGTAAAATTTTGTGAAACATTTTTATTAGCCACGTAGTTTTTTAATATCCCCCATATCTTTTCAATTGGATTTAGTTCCGGGTGGTAAGGTGGTAGTCGTAGAATTTCAAACCCTTTTGATTGAATTAGTTCGTCAATAACGAACCTCTTGAATCTGTCCTTATTTTTTAAAATAAGATCGTACAGTTCAATTTTTTTCATTGATTCGTCAAACTGAATATTTTTTTCTGCAAGCCACGTTTGCATGGCTTGCTTATTTGAGTTGGAGTTGGGAGCTTTTTCTAATAAAGCATTGTGGTAAGAAGCGTTATCCACAACGATGACAGCCTTTACCGGGGGGATTGGGCAGTAATTGTGTGGTGAGCCATTTCTTATAATTATCCAGATTCATGTTGTCGTGATAATCTCCACTTGTGAAGTTTGCTTTATACACCAAACTAGCATTTGGAACAAATCCTTCACATCCACCAGCGTGAACAATTATGACCCGAGTACCTTTAGACAACTTTTTTGCACTGCTGATGCTCCTTTGACTGGTTTCCAGCACATGTTTTGCAGATGTGTTGTATGAACATAACTTTCATCTGTGTATACGATATAGCGGCCCTCGTCACGATATTTTTTTAATTGCCTCAAATATTGAAAGCGTAACATTTGGATATCATGCTTTTCTACTAAAGCTTTACGGTTGTCATCTATTTTGGACCACTCGTAGCCCGATTCCTTCAAAATGATATGCAGAGTTTCTATACAACCGTTAAAACCAATTCTTTCTGTTAATACTTGTTTCAGCTTTCTTAACGTTGGTAATTCATTAAATTCTGTATGAAATGTCGCTATCGTTCTGCGAAGTATACCCATATCAAAATCATCCAGGTTAGACTTGAAACGCTTCCTTTTTGGTTTTGAGGGCGATCTAAAAATTTTTTGTGACGTATTATTTGATGTACTAGCTTGTTTCTCTTCTTTCAAAATTCGTGTAATCGTAGATTCACTAACACCAATGGCTTGGGCAGTTCGCCATCTAGCGTCAGATAGTTTTCCCACTCCATTTTCCGCTTCATATTTCATTCTGCGGTACACTTTCGCAGGAATTTCTTTTGCCTGTAAAATGTATGCATGTAAACCACCATAAAAACAATGTATGATTAAATAAGATTTTAAGCAAAATAACGTATTATTTTACTTACTTGACTCCGTAAATGTTTTTTGGTCGACATGCTGACGGTACTTTTACAATTTTACGACGCGTGCTCCTACGCTTGAGTTTCACCGGCAACTGAATGACCAATTACAACGGCATTTGTGTATGTATTGCGTCCATATTTTAAATTTGCTTGTGTGCGTTAATGCGATAGTGGGGCGCGTCATTTCAGCTTAGACGAGCTCTACGTTGGTTGGGTATGTGATAACGGTTATGTACTTAGATTTATCGATATGATATGATATTTTGACAACATAACGTTATTAGTAATGTTTTGTTATATCGTTCTCATGTCTACAAATCGGTTTATAGAGAAACTAATTTTCATGTCATGTATTGAATAGAAGAGTATTGCAGAAAGGAAAAATCGACAAGAACGCAGAATTTGAAAATGATTAATGATATAAAAACAGCTTAAAAAAAATCGTGACCCTTGGCAGGGTTGTATCCGACAGATGGCGAAATTGTAATCTTTTCTTCTTCGTCATCTGAGTAAAATAGGTCACTCTACTGGATATGGGCTACGACTGAGCTCCCCTCATAGTTAGAAGGATTTGCGAAAGCCAGGCATAGCAGCTGAATTGGCTCATGATTATTGTATGTCTGTTTTTGTCTGTCAGCCCATATAAATCATATAAATTTCACGGGTGACAACGCATCTGCATTTTAATTCGCAAACGAAGATAGATGTAGATGTCTATGGGCGACAGCAACCACTAACCATCAGGTGGACTGTGTGCTCGTTTGTCACCCTTATTCTATAAAAAAACAACTGCTGGACATTGGCCTCTCAAATCGTAGGGAATATTTGCTTCGTAGCTAATTTATGTCTGACGTTAAAGAGATGTATACCGCCATCTGTCGGAAGCCATGAAACCTTTCTGGCATCTCTTACGATACTCACGGAATGAGGTATTGTCTTACCCCGGTAGTTATTTAGATGATCAATGTTCTGCCACTTTCTATAATAAGCTAAAGTGATGTAATATTTTTTTTCTTTAGATACGCCCTTTAATGATGGAGAGCACAGCGTTAGGTGCGGCCATAGCGGCGGGTCGGGCGCTCGGAGTGTGGCCGTCAACAACGTCTTGCCCCCCTGTAGACACTTTTTTACCAGCCATATCTAATGAAGGTATACAACACCAACACTCATATATTATTGTGTTATAACGAATATTTCAAAATACTCAATGTATTGCAGGGCGGTTGTGTAACTCGTTGGATTCTGCCGGTGGGAACCACTCCACGACTGCATTATGCGTTTTTTAATATCTTTTGTAACGTATAATAAGATAATAATACAGACATGTTTACAAAATACAAAGAAACCAAATGTCAAACGGCAAAACGAAGCCAACCCCGATTCTCACCAAAGTTTCAGTATCGTACTGCTGGTGTATTCGTTTGTTAGGTAACAGATCGATTTAAAGCTTAACATCAGTAAGTTTAATTTAGCAATACAGTTTACATTTGTATAATTATTACAACTACTATAATTTGTATATTAAAACCAAAATTGTAAACCAAACTGATGTGACGTTCCTTTATCTGCTTAATCTTGTTAGTTTTCTTCACACAGTTGAGATTTGTCATAAATAAAATTGAATTGTTTGTCTGTAATATCGAAACAACTGCCTTTTTGCCATGTTGATATAGAAATATTTGGGAATTAGGGGACTAAAATGTAGTGTGATTAGACCTCATTTGGATGCAACATTCTCTATTCAAATCTATATGATGAGCTATAAATCTTGATCATACATAAGCAAGCTACAGATCATACGTTAGCGATTATGAACTTTAAGCACGGGTATGAACAGTCTCTGCTCTCATACGGCTTTATAAAAACACTCCAGGGGTGGGGCAGACAATACTACGTGGAGTCGGAGCGTGCTGATTCGGTTTTAGTATCGATATCTCGGAAACTAAGTGAGATATCGAAAAATTTTATTCTTACTTTTCGCCGTATCTCGTCGAGATCTATACGAATCCGCCTTCAAATCGTGGCACCGTAGAAGCTCCTAATACCGAACTATAAAGTAATTTATTTCCAAAAAATATACAATTAAAAACCAATCCTTCACTCAGTCTAAAAATTCTTTGTAAACATGTTGCTTTTCTTTTTTGTATATAACATTTCATACTATGTGAATTAAAATTAAAAATAAATAAATTGTATAACATAATTAATTAAATAACTTGTAGGACTAGTGAATATAGTAATCATTATAATAATATCCTCCAGTCGAGACTGAATTTTGGAAATGGCGGCCAGTCCTAACGGAGACTAGTCATTTGAGCTGGACAGGTGCACTCTCTATTTCTTCACTATCATAGTCCGATGTGATGGCGATCAGGCGCAGGACCAATGGCTTTACATGTTTCTCGAGTCACGGGGATGAAACACAGCCATCTTTCTAACTTCAGCCTGCTACTGAGAATTAATTGACAGAAAATTCCATTAATGGATTTTGACTCGACCCGGGGCCAGCAGTTTCGTTCACTATTACTAGACGAGGCAGTCATGTATAGTAATATCTAGAGAAATCACACACATAATACATTTATTGGGTTTCATAAGGCGACACTAGAAATACCGGGAAGATCTCGTTCATCTATGCCGCACCTCACTAGTGATGGGGGCAGCGTAAATGAGACAGCGCAGCATAAATAAGACCTCAGGACAGCGTAGATGAAACGTCTACGACGAGATTATGTAGAGTAGAGATTATATAAAATTCTATTGTGAGAGACGCAACCTTCAGTTGTTATGAGCTGATACATTTTATATGATATTTCTACCCATTTGCACAGATATTTATTTTTTACTTTCTATGTTTACTTAAGATTATCTAATTTATTACAGAACGCGAAATTCGTCGTGTTCGGTGGGAAGCAGCGCTAAACAGATGCATGGGGTGGGTCACTGATGATTCTGATCGACATAAAGTAGAACCCGGTAAACATCTTGTATCTAAAAATTGTCCAATCATTAAATCAACAATTGTGCTACAATTTATTTATGAGACAATATATGGCAGTAGGAGACCTTCCTTTGTTTTTGAGATAGCAAATATCACCATAGTCACGGATGGGCAGAAATAGAGACTAAGCAAGCGCAACTTTACTTATAGTGGGAAGAAAATTACTTAATCAAAATAATAGGGAGCATAAAGTTGTAAACAACAAACATTTTTGTGCTCACCTCACTAACCTGCGAGGTCCAAGACAAACAGGAGTCACTATATAATCCCAGACTTTTAGCTTTGTTACTGTTAGGAATATGAGTGGCAGACCCTATTTTATATTATACTAGCGATACGCCCCGACTTTGCACGGATGTTTACATTTTAAACGTGGTAGAGCCATGCTGCAGCTATATTATTGGTATAGTTGTATCACGAATGGGTCGGCTCGACCGAGGAAGGCCCACGCTCTCACAGAATACCAGCGTAAAATAGCAACTTAATGCTTCTGTGTTTCGTTTTTCGGTGAGCGTAGAGAACCGCAGACCCGTTGTACTGGAAACGAGGCATTCCATCTTAGTCCTCACGCGTAACAACGTATCTGCATTTTGATTCGTCATCGAGGATAGATGTAGATGCCTATGGGCTACAGCAATGACTTACCATCAGGTGGACTGTATGCTCATTTGTCACCCTTATCCTGTTGCCGGCCTTTTAAAAAGGAGTACGCTCTTTTCTTGAAGGTCCCTAAGTTGTATCGGTCTGGAAAAATCGCTGATGTTAATCGATTCCACAAGGAAGTCGTGCGAGGAAGAAAACATCTTCTATATAGCACAGTGGTGGACCGCCAATCATCCAGATGGTGTGGATGGTATCGGGAGTTCTACCGCGATGTGCCTTCGTGAAGTTTGGCACAATTCCTCAGAGTACTACTCCCCGTGGTAGATGCGAAAGAAAATGCAAAGGGATGCAACATCTCTTCGCAGTGCCAATGAATCGAGCCGATCGGAAAGGACTCGGTCGTCGACGATTCGAGCCGCTCTGCCCTGGATGTGGTCAAGTGGCCTTCCACTTGACCGCATCCAGGGCAGAGCGGCTCGAGATCGGATCGGATTCCACAAGGAAGTTTTGCGAGGAAGAAAACTTCCTCTAAATCGCACAGTGGTGGACCGCCAATCATCTAGATGGTATGGATGGTATCGCGAGTTTTGTCGCGATGTGCGATGGTGAAATTGAGCGGCTGGAATTAGTCCGAACAATTCCTCAGAGCACTCCCCGTGATAGATGCGATAAAATACTCAAAGAGATGCAACATCTCTACGCAGTGCCAGTGAGTCAAGCCGATCGGAAAGAACTCAGTCGTCGACAATTCGAACCGCTCTGAGCTGGATGCGGTCAAGTGGAAGGAGCTGGCACTGGGGAGCCCCTGCCCAGAGATGGGAACAGTATTCCATGTGAGGCCGAACCTGCGCCTTGTAAAGTTGCAGGCGGTGTGCCGGCATGAAATACTGTCCCGCTCTGCTGAGCTTTTTAGAGGCCAATTTGGCCTTCTCTTCCAAGTGACCACGAAACTGCACGTCACTCGATATGTCGACTCCGAGGATTCCGATACTGGCTGAGGCAAGAAGGGGAGTGCCTTGAAACTGAGGAGATACGACAAAGGGGTTCCTTTTAGCGGTAAACGCGCAAACTTGTGTCTTCTGAGGATTAAACTGGACAAAATTTAGTCGCTACCCCAATCCGAGACTTTGTTCAGCAAAGACTCGACTTCAGACACAAGTTTGTTCCGGTACTCAGCGACGTTTTCCCGAGAAATATTGGCACGGCCGGTGTATAGAGCATCACCAGTGCTGTCATCCGCATAGCAATGAATGTTACCAGTTAGCAACATATCATTGATATGCAGAAGAAACAGCGTTGGTGATAGCACACAGCCTTCTGGAACACCAGCGTTAATAGGCTTGTAGTCGGAGCATGCACCGTCTACAACGACCTTGATGCTCCGATCTGCAAGGAAGCTGGTGATCCAATTGCACAATTTCTCTGGAAGCCCATAGGAAGGGAGCTTTCGGAGAAGCGCTTTGTGCCAAACCCGATCGAAGGCCTTCGCAATGTCCAGACTAACGGCCAACGCCTCCCCCTTGGACTCTACTGCCTCCGCCCATCTATGGGTCAGGTAGACCAGAAGATCCCCAGCTGATCGACCCCGACGAAAACCGGCGGCGGTCAGTAATCAGCTGGTGATCCTCAAAGTACCGCATGAGCTGGAGGTTAATAATGGATTCCATTATTTTGGAGAACAAGGTAATGGCGATAGGCCTATAATTGGACGGGACTGAGCGGTCGCCTTTTTATCACCCTAGGGTGGATACTCGAAAGCACGTGTTCGTTTATCCACCCTAGATTTGGTGGACTCCACCCCAAGTACAGTTCAATAAAAATATATTCATACTTAATATATTATTGATTATTTTTTAATAACCACAAACCTAACCAAAAATCATATTACATATTGAATTTAAACCAAATGAAACTTCTTCGTTTTAAATAATAATAACTAATTTATAAATTCTGCCATATGTTCAGGAAATGACCAACGCTAATTTCATTATAGAGTAGACGTAATTGTATATCCTGTATAAATTCGCCTCTAATGTACATTTGCAAGCGTTTTCTAAATTTCTTTGTTGCAACAGATGTGTTAGCAAAAAACCCTGGTTTTTTGCAAGTAATCTAAAAACTTCTAAATTTGGATGTTTTCTTTAATTTCATTTGATATTGTTTTATGCCAAGATTCTAATGAATTTGTAGTTCTGTGAGGCTACTCTCCTCCGATCCGCCGGTGGCCCATGTTGCTCTATGCTATTATATAACAAACTAGGTAACAATACATCCAGTATAGTAGTTTTTATTGATTTGTTTCTGTAAACTTTTTCTTGTAAGGAAATCTTTGCATCTAGATGTGTTGTGTATGGCAAAAAATGCCCAAAAATTGCATTTTTGTCATCATTTTCATTGCAATCTAGACCTGTCCAGCACAATGTAGACCAATATTTAAATTGTATTCATACTGCATTTGTACTAATATACCTGTTAATATTAAGGAAAGTAAATCTGAATAATTAAAATGATGACTATATCTAGTAATGGACTATCCTACATCCTTAAATGGTGATTATAATACATTTGTAAAGTGACAACATGAAAAACGTCTGTTAATCTGAACACTTTATTTTGTAAAATTATATATATATATATATATATATATATATATATATATCAATCAATATAAAACTTAATGACATGATTAATTAAAATGACATAAATGCCTTTTGCTTCAATGATAATCAGTCATGTTTGTAATTCCAGATGATGTTGATCACACAGCAGCAGTTCTACCACCTGGCCTCTTCTTCCTTGGAACTGCTTTATTAGTTGTTATAGCAGACAAGTTGAAAATCGTGTAGGTAGCTTAGTGAAAGTAGTAATTGGAAAATAGTACCTCAGATATTAGTCAAATCATTTACAGTATTAATATATTCAAAGTAGACAAAATAAAAATTGATGTTCTGTAATATATAATAAATGTTACACTGAATATTTCTTTTATTGTTTAAAGAGAATTACACATCACATGTAAATAATGACAATATTTATTATAAAATAGTAAGTAGTACACATGTTAACCCTTAATAACTGCAATTGGCCGTAATTTAACAGTCTTCTTGCTGATACCAGCAGCATGGCATGTATTAACAACATCTGTTACATTTTTGTATGACTCTGGAGCTTCTTCCATCACTAGCTTAGGTGATGCGACTCTTATAGAAATGCCCATACTCTCAAGCTTAGTCAGGACATCTTTATAATCCAAGTTTCTTCTTGATTTCGCTCGTGATAGAGCACGTCCCTAAAATAGATTTTGTAATGAAACTGTAACTTTAAACAAAAATGGGGTTGGATTTAGAATGGTTTGGCAAGAATTTGGCGGATTAAAGTGTTTTATTTGGTGGAGATTTGGTCCCCGATTATAACAATACCACTCACATTAAAATGTAATGCACTGTTGTTATCAAAAAATAAATAAAAACTATTATAACCTAAAATGCGTAAAACATGGAAAAATTACTGTGAAAGCTGGATAGCATACAGAATTTTGTGTTAGAGCGACAAGGGTGTAAGAATAGTGTCACATTATTCTACTGTCTATACTTTCTGTCAAGAGATATTTCGCTAAAGACAAACTTGATATATGAATATTTATGGAAAAGAGAAATTATAAGAAATAAAAGAGATCCTTGATTGAGATTCCTTGAAAAAAAATGATGTTTACAGACAATAAAGAAATGATTATAATATACTGTTTTATTTCTGAATTGTTTTAAACTGCCCAGAAATACTTGAACACCCAGAAATTATTTCAGTTGTAATAGGTTAGAAGGTTGTGGTGGGAGCGAAGACAACCTGACTTTATAGATATCTGATCAGATCGAATCTGTACTAAAATTAAACCAGCACGCCCCGACTCCACGTAGTCTTGTCTGCCCTACTCCTAGAGCGTTTTTGTAAAGCCGTAGGCGCGGAGGGGGAGCAGCCCTAAGGATGCCCGATTTTTTGTCGTAAATCGATCATCTGGATCGTAACCTCGTGAATCGATTCACGATTTAATCGTATTGTATTGAAACGATCTTATTCGATCTCGGAAAATCGTATCGTAATTTTATAAAAATAAAGAAAAGCATAGTATACATGCACAATTATTTATTTTAACAATGCCTATTACAGTATCTAGTGTAGTATCAGTATCTAGTGAGTTTTTCCAAATAATTATTTAAAAAAAGTATAAAACAGGTTCTACATTATGAATTCCAGCTATCTACATTTAATTAATTTTCTCAAATAAATGCAGCGTAACTTATTCCCTGTAACATGGGTTATCTATCTGCCAGTGAAATTCCCGTCAGAATCATCCCATCCGTTTCAAAGATTAGCCGGAACAAACAGACAGACAGACAGACAGACAGACGAACCGAGAGACAGACAGATTTTTTTAAATTTATTTTTTGTCATTAGTACCATATATACTTTGATATGTATTCAGTAAAAAGCTGTTATTTTGACATTACAAACAGACCTTCAATTTTACTTATTTGTATAGAAGATAAATTCTTACAATTTCGGCAATTGCTGTAGTTGAACTTTCGTCACTTTTGCTTAGCTCAGAATAAGTGCCTATATGATGACTTGAAATGATTTTTTAATTGGTAGTATTTCTACTGTTTTTAACCAACTGTTTACACATTTTACATTGTCCACCCATGACAATTTTAATTAAAAGAAAGCCCAAGCGTTTGAATTGGTTGGCGTGGCCATATTAAAAAGTATTTTGAGTAGGTAATAGTTTACGCTCACAGAACAGTTCAACTTTTCGTATCGCAATAATACAAAGAATGAAAGATCTTATAACACTAACATAGGTACCAGATAATAAAATTAAACAAAATATTATCATACCTACCTTCATATTTCATACACTACCTTTTTAGATGTAACTCGAATCTACTCTCATTTAATGTGTAGGTACTAAGTAAGACAGTAACTAAAACAAAGTAAGAACTTTGTTTTAGTTATTCTGTTCCCTCCACGGTAATATGATAGGTATGCAAAGATCAGTTCATATGTTAGGACATTACTGTTTAGGTTTTAGTTGATACTATTTTTTCATAGGATCTTATAGCCATACAAATCGATCTGGGTGAAGATCGCATTCCCTTGAATCGATTCAAAAATCGGTAGATCGTATGACCGTGAATCGATTTTCCAGAAAATCGATTCAGATGGGGCATCCCTAAGCAGCCCCCGCTCGCCGTAGCAAATCGCAGGCAGCTGTTTGAGCCGTAGTGGCTGAGGCTGGTCGCCGAAGGCGACCACCTGTGATTCGTTACGCAAGGGCGAAGGGGCTGCACTTCCCGCAGCGCCGAAGCGTTTTCAGAAGTAACTTTGGGTCAATATTCCTGTGTAAAAAAGTGAGGTTATGATTTTACAAAAAAAACATTACTCATAAACTATACTTTTCCTCAACGAGGGAAAGGTAGAGGGGCTTTCCCTGATAGGGTACACTCCTGCTACCCTATTTCCCCCTCCTGTTGGAGACGATAAATGTTACTTTCAGGTTAGGTCTATGGGATTTTCTTTTGGATTTTTTTCAAGAACGGTGTATTACCCTTTAATGGGAGTGGTGTCGGGAGTACCCCTCAACCCCTGCCCCCTCCTCCTGCCAAACAATTCTAAATTTCAACCCATAAATGCCTAGCCAAATGACTGACGAAAATTTTACCTAACTATTAGATTCATAATTGCATATATAATATAATATAATTATTTTTAAATTTATGATGTGCTTATTTATAATAAAAATTAATACTCACTGCACCATGGCAGGTAGATCCAAAGGTTTCGGTCATGCCTTGATGTGTGCCAGTAAGGACATAACTACAAGTACCCATGGAGCCTCCAATCAATACTGGCTGACCAGTCAGTTGATAGTCCACGGGTATTAAAGGGTGATGTGGTGGGAATGCTCTTGTTGATCCCTAAAAAGTTAGAACATGAACATAGGAATTTGTACATTTATTCTGATTCGAATGACTGAACCAATAATTTTAAAATTAACCACTATTACCTTTCTGTGAACTAATAATGTTTTTACTTTTCCATCCACAACATGTTCTTCAATTTTAGCTATGTTATGAGATACATCATATATAACATGCATGTCTAAATCATCTGGGGCCATTTTAAATTGCTTAGCAAATGCCTGACGGGTTAAGAAAGTCATAGAGCTTCGGTTTACCCAAGCAAAATTAGCTGCTGCTGCCATTGCTTTCAAATAGTCCTGGCCTTCTACTGAATTTATTCTAGCACATGCTAACTGTCGATCATTTACTGCTATTTGATCTCTCTTCATAGCCTTCTCCATTTGGACTAGAGCATCTGTAGCAACTTGATGCCCAAATCCTCTACTTCCTGAGTGGATCATAACAACAACCTGACCAGTTCTTTCTAGACCCATTTTACTTGCAGCATATTTATCATATATTTCATCAACTACTTGTATTTCAGCATAATGGTTACCAGCCCCTAAGGTACCAAGTTGAGGTAAACCTCTCTTTTTTGATCTTAAACTGACTTTTGATGGATCAGCATTTAACATACGGCCATATTCCTCACAATGTTCTTTATCCTCAGCCCAAACATAGCCTTCTCTTAGGGACCAATCCATACCCATTTCTAAAGCCTCTTCCATATCCCTAGCATTCATAGGTATAATACCTTTTGAACCAACACCAACAGGTATATGATCAAAAAGACTTTGTGCAAGTTGTTCCTAAAATGAAAACAATGAGTTACTTGTAATATTGATATGATTACATAAAAAATATAAAGAGGTAAGCCTAAATACCTTAATAGGTAGCACATCTTTTTCATGTAAATTAGTTCTTAATAAACGAACTCCACAATTAATATCAAACCCGACACCTCCCGGGGAAACAATTGATTTTGGGTCAGACACATCAAAAGCTGCCATATTTCCTGTAATTTTAATTATGATAAATGAAAAAAATGTTCTAAAAGATAAATTAAATTATTGGTACAACATATCTAAATATAATAAAAAGGCCAACTCAAAGGTAGTGTGTAGGGGAACATATCAACTTTTTCACCATACACCTATTTTACCAGCACACGGTGCATTCTGCTGTGAGATGAGATCTAAATGTGCTAAATCGGAATAGGCGGCAGCATTACCAATGCAAGTTTCTTTCAGAAATGGTGCATTAATGAAGCTTAAAATATGCTACATACCTATAGCAAATCCATATCCTGAATGTACATCTGGTAAACCAACAGAACGTCCCACAATTCCTGGCAATGCTGCTACATTAGCAATTTGTTTAACGCCCGGCAAAAATCCCCCGGTCATTCCGGGCCTGCAAGAATTTCTTAGTTCGTCTAGCATTAGTTTTTCAAGCGTATTGTTGACGTAAAATACGCCTTCCACGTTCATGTTAGGCTGGAACCCCTTTTTGATTCTCCAACAGTAGGGATTAATCTTTTCTAAGTATTTTAACTCTTCGTTATAATTTCTTACCACCATTATGAGAAAATATTTTAATGTAATGTGTAAAGAAGTAGAGTAGTGTATTTCGGTTACAAAGCGATATATAAATCCAATTGAATGTCAAAATAAATTCCACCATGCAAACACAAATGACATCGATTTCGTTCGACTTCGATTTCGCCGGCAAGCGGCAAGCGCACAGACCACAGATTATTTAGTAGATTCTAGTTCTACCCGGCACAGGCCAGGCTGATGCAACTTTGAGAAACTTGCACACAATCATAATTTTATCTATATTATGTGGATTGCGTGTATTATAATAATAATAATAAATCATTTTTATTTCCTCTTCACAAAGGTATAAAATTTCACATTATTACTTAGGTAAATAATACGGTTATATATTATAAAATTAAAGCGAGAAAAAGATATCGCTGTTTCTTTCTTTCGCGTTGTTTCAGATTGTCATTTTAAAAATTAAATACAAAATACTTATAATATCGGAAGAAGGTGAAAATGTTAATCTGTGTAAAACTTTTTTTTGGTTGCTCATTAGATTATAATTACATACATATTACTCTGAGATTTGCAGAATTAATTCACCTATTGATTGATTAAAATTGAATTATTGAATATAAGCAGATTTCTATCAAAATAAACCATGAATTAAAAGAAGAAAATACGACTTTTCTTTGTTAACGTCTTTTATGATGAAAATAATTCCTAAAATTTATTCAAATTTATTTCATACATCGATATATATGTACTACGCACTAGATTTCGCATTCAGAACATTGACTATGTACAACTGAACTGTACTGCAATCCGTACAAACTAAATATTGCGTAAATTGAAGATTTGTGAATTCCATAAGATAATTATTATTACATTTTACATTACATTATATATATATATATATATATATATATATATATATATATATATATATATTATATTACACTTACATTTTAAGAGTACATTTAACCGACGAGCGTGTATGCGTAGGTATATGGATGTGGAGGAAGCGAGAGAGGTGTCAGGATCGTGCCAAATGGAAGTCCATAATCTTTGCCTACCCCTCTGGGTGACAGGCGTGAGTGTTTATGTATTATGTATGTATGTATTTTATTTAGAAATATGTTTGTTTAGATTAAAATAAGATATTTTATATTAAATTCTTATATTTATTTTATATTAATATCTTATTTTATATCAAATTAAAGTCTTCGCGCATGCGCGACTACTACTCCCGCGCATAGGGTAGGGATATAGGGTAGGACACAATTTTTGTTTAGAATGGCTTCTCTAGTACGTAGTACATATAACTCAATGAATTCATTTCTTTCTTTCTTTCTTTCTTTTTTAAAAAACGTTACCCCCACACTAGGATTTTCTCCTGTATAGTGGAGGCAGTTTACAAACATAAATTGCACAAGGACAAACATCCAGACCCGGAACAATTATTTGTAGGCCATACAAATACTTGCTTCGTGCGGGATCCGAACCCGCAGCCCCAAGCGCTGGAACTCATTGCTAAGCCACTGCGCCACGGAGCCGTCTTCATAGGATTAGATTTTAATATTTGCTATTGTGTTTTGCTTAAATTCAGTTATTATGGGTTCAGAATACTTCATTTTCGTTTGTAGGCATTTTTTCACCATTGTGTGTGTAATTTTTTGTTAGATGTTGACTCTTTATGAGATATTGACTATAAATTCATTTATTATTTAAAAATGTTATGCACGGTGTGTGATGAGAATCGAAAGTATATAAAGCATTGTGCGAACAAAAAGCACAAAATTATCTGATCAGTTTCTGCAAGTTTCCTACAATAGAAGAAGAAAAACTTTTGACAATATTGTGGTAACTCTTTAAGCATTTTGAATTTATTGATCGTTATTGGTAGGGATTAATACTACATTAACTTGAATTTTATCTGTTTCAGATCATGTATTTGGACTGACTTAAGTTTTCACCATGAGAATTTTGCTGATTTAAATTTACGTTAATGTTCTGTGAAGAATAACTCTCACGATAACATAATATGTTATAAATCAATATTACGCGTGGAAATATTATCTACAAAATCAATAAAAAACATCAATAATAATATATAGTGTATGAAACAATCTCTTCCAAAAATAAAATTATATAACTATACTTATTTTTAGTTTTATTTTATCCCACATACTCCTCTAAAGTAAATTCGAATAACTATTGTGCAACCTCTCAAATGTATGGGAATTCACCCAATGGGTTTGTGAGGCTCGAGCCAAAATTACTAAAATTTGCCTTAAATAAACAAAAAGTTTAAAAGTACCAGAATACAAGGTTTGCGATTCCAGCTAAAAAGTTTTATATGGGCACCCACCATGGCTTTTAGCACACGAGTAAAGAAATTGTACAGAGGCAAATCTTCGAAGGAGCTGTCAAAATTTTTACCAATTTTGGTAGGGTTGGCGCAGGAGAATAAAATTAAATAAAGAAAACGTTTATCAGCATTTTAATAGATACTTAAGATATAATATTTTTTTACAAACTACGTATTCTAAATATTTTACTTTTATAATTATTGTCCTTGAACAATATTTTCTGGCTTTCAATTAAACAGTAAATTCTAAATTTAATGTAAAGCACTTAAATCCAATTAACATTGAGATGTGAAAATAACTGTTACTAAATAACCAAGTCACAAATAATTTTAATCGTCACAACTAATTGTCAACACAAACAACGTTAATAATATTGTTATTATCAACATTATTTTTAATGAATTTTTAATGTGTGCTTAAGTGTAAGTGAGTGGAATATTTTGAACCAATTATTAAGTCCCCAAATAACAAAAATTTTAATATATTGTGTGGTGATAACAAGTGAAATAACAATATACTAGCTTATTATCAATAGACCCATAAATATAACTACGCTTCTCATGGTTTGAATTTTGGATATTAAATTGAAATAAATGTTGAATTGAAATACATTGAACTTGCGCGCTATTAGCATTGCTAACCTACGAAAAGGTAACTAAGCACGCGCAGCTGTGTCTTCAATTCTACGACGGTTCTTTTTCCGCACTGGCTCTACTGATTCATTCTCAAAATTATTAATTATTGACCATATTAGCAGTTAATCGGAAACTAATGTCCTTTTTGTTTTTAATTTCAGACCAGACCGGCTTTAGATCAACCGTGTTCCTTTAACTGTGAACCTTTGGGGGTTGATATGGAAGCAAAGGATTATTTGGTACGGCAGAAATTTCTCGTACATAAAAACATTTTTAGATGAAATAATTTTATACAAAAACTAATTAAAATTAGGAGACAGAAATATAATGTCATCCAGTAGAAAAACTGGATTTTTGGGCTTCCTAATTTGTATTAAAAGTGTAATTTATTTGTACGAAACTCATGTGATAAATAATAACCTTCAGTTTTTAAGCAAAAAGATCACTTGGAGTATTTTTTTAGTGCCATTAGAGCCAAAGGAGGTTATAACAACAACCAGTCTTCTAGACAATTAAAGTCAGTATTTTAAAAGAATGTTAGTTCATGGTGAAATGAAACGCATAACTTCAGGAAATTGTATACCGTTAGAACATATAAATATTTTAACAGTGACCAAATCAGAAATAGCAATTAATAAAATATTAGAAAAAAATAGACTTATTAGTATATATAATAGACACCGAAAATAGTAATTCAGAATATTTTAATGAAGGATCACGATTACTTAACTGATCCAACTATGTTAACCGAATTTTCTAAACATATAATAGTATACATTGCTGGATTTGTTGTAAGCAAACTGAAAAAAGAGCTGCAGTGCGAGGAATGCGTGTCTTTTATTATATCTGATACTAAATACGCCAGGCTACAGTTACAAAAAGACAAAGGTGGTTTATGTTACCCTTCATAAGATGTTATAAAAATTTGTGAGACAATATTTCGTAAAAAACCGAGGTCTTAATAAAAATAATATTCTTGTGGTGCTCATGCAGTAAAGTCATAAACGATGTTTAGGTTTAATATTATTTTTTAACGTATCACATTTTAACAGCCAAACGTTCCTCGACTGTCACTATTCGCTCCTAATTAAGTTTGAAATATCTTAACGTTCGAATACACTATGCTACTAAAAAGTTCTAAAAAAAAACCGATAACGTCAGAAATTTTTATAATAAATTAGTTTTATTTAAAGGTCAATAGTAGCCAATTTACCAGTTGAAGAAATAATGAAACTATAGTATAGTCTTTGCCCATAGACTTAGAATATACGCCAGTATAGACCACCTGACAGCCCGAAAACACGTGAACAATTTTGGTTTGTTATTGTGTGCGTTAGCTAGTGATGTATATTTTACTTACAAGGACTATCTATATAAAATGATTCTTAAAGAAGCGGTAAAAAGATATAAAAAAGTGTAGATTTAAAAACAGTGTATTACCTTTTAATGGGAGTGGTGTCGGCAGTAAGGGGACGCTCAACCCCTCCCCACCCCTCAGGGTATATTTAGTAGCGTCACCTACTGGGGAATTGCTGAAATATTTTCCTAATAAATATTCTGCGTGGTTTTGCTATATTTAACTAGAGGGCGTCACACACGCGCGAGCTCATAGTTTTTATATGAAAACGTTCTCTATGTCCGTTCTATATTATACTTATATATTTAAATCTCTTTGTACATCATGAATACTACTTTCAAATGCACATTTATCTTTTTTGTTACGGACTGTGAACATTGCTGCGTAAATCCCTCTAATAAAACAGATGAGTCTAGTAATATAGTGTCTAAAGGATTTTGTTCGATTAATTCCTCCGATATTAATGAATAACTACTTCCGGTATCAATAAACGCATTGTGATAAAAATTGTGTATACATACCCTCTTTATAAATCTTTTTCGTGTATCAATTACAAAACATTTTATCGGCCTACGAATGTGTAGCTGTCCCGAATCTTGAATTTGGTTATCAGGCCGGTCTGATCCTATTGCTACCGGTGCTGTCGGCGTAGATGGCATATTTTGATCTAAT